TCAGGTGCACCAACCTCTCGGAGCAGCAGCTGCAGCAGCTGGTGCAGCAGAACCTGCAACAGCAGCAGCAACGACCACGGGGGCTACCCCGGGTGCTGGAGGAAGGGCTTCGACGTCCCTTAGTAGCCGCCGCCGCCGCAGCAGCAGCAACAGCAGCAGCAGCAACAGCAGCAGCAGCAGCAGCAGCAGCAGCAACTATGAAGGGGGCGAAGATGACTTCGGTGTTGCTGAGGGTCTCTTCGTTGATGATGCTGCTGACGACGATGCAGTAAAGCAAAAATATTTGTCTCTGTTTGTCTTTGGGGCCCCCAGAGCTGAAGCAGCAGCAGCAGCAGCAGCAGCAGCAGCAGCAGCAACAGCAGCAACAGCAGCAACAGCAAATGGAAAGGCGGAAGAAGACGCTGACATACTGCCGCTGCTAAACATTCACCAGGCTTCTGCTGCTGCTGCTGCTGCTGCAGAGCAGCAGCAGCAGCACAGAGTGCTGTGCAGCTGCTGGAAGCAGACAGGCGTAAACCCAACAGCAACAGAAGCAACTGCAGCAGCAGCAGCAGGAACAGCAGCAGCAGCAGCAGAAACAGCAGCAGCAGCTGATGACCCTGTTGCTGCCTGTCCTGAGGCCGTCAGGAGATACCTCGTCGGGGCAGCAGCGCTGAAGGCTCTGCAGCAGCTGCGGCTATTCTTGGTGCAGCAGCAGCAGCAGCAGCAGCAACAGCAGCAGCAGCAGCAACAGCAACAGAAGCTGTACGGGGATGCTGCTGCTGCTGCTGCTGCTGCAGAGCCGCCTGTAGACCGAGACGCATCAGCGTCGTATAGGGTGAAGGCGGCAGGAGCTCGATCGTCAACAGCAGCAGCAGCAGCAGCAGCAGCAGCAGCAACAGCAGCAGCAGCAGCAACAGCAGCAGCATTACCTCTGGATGATGATAGCAGCTACGTTGTAGAGCTCTCTCACCTACACCCGCTGCTGTCTCCTCTTATGCGGGACCCCGCCAATGAAGCGCAGCTGCAGCTGCTGTTTGCTGCTGCAGCTAGTAGCTGCAGATACAGCTGCTGGTGTTCTTTTGTTGCTGCATTCAGCAGCAGCAGCAGCAGCAGCAGCAGCAGCAGCAACAGCAGCAGCAGCAGCAGCAACACAAACAGCATCATAAATGGCTGTGCGGCTCATCCACCGGCTACTGCTGCAGCTGCAGCACAGACAACGCAGCAGCTGCTGCAGCCAGCAGAGGCGCCATCTGCTGCTGCTGCTGCTGCTGCTGCTGCTGCTGCTGCTGCACGAGACCTGGCGGC